TAATATATATAATTAAAATCAAAAAATCGTCATTTTCCCCTGTTTCCCATAACCTGAGAGCGTAAAACGAGTCACACTTTAAATTTAGAGCTTTTTTCGGGATACTGTGTATAATTCACTTCTTTTGTTCTTCAAATTTTTCACCTCTGAAAACACCACCTGAGACTTTTTATCTGGCAACTTCGGCATTTTGCCGGTTGTATAATTTGCATAGATACCCAGGAATTAAATGGGCGTAAAAAATGACAGCAGCAACTAAAAAGAAGTTCCTTCTTATTTTTTCTATTTCTGTTTCTGTTCTTTGTTTTAGATCAAATCTTTACTGCTCATTTAGACTAATTAAGAAGAAAAAAAAAACTTTGAGGGATGCGACAAATCTTTTTGTCCCGTTAATAATACAAAATTAAAGTTATTGTAGAAAATCTATTAAAACTCATGATAAAAGGAACAAGAAACAGTAGTATAGGGACCTTCCATTCAAATCCGTCTTATATAAAAGGGAAAATGCGTAACAGAAAAAAAAAGCTATTTATTACGGAGAGGATATGTTCAAACACATTTATCCTTATCAAATTTATTGCAACTTTTTGGAACAGCGGCTTTCAACTGCTCAGAAGCAATGTCATCAAGATGTCGGCTAAGTTTCATCTCTGAGCACACAAACACACACATCAAGATGAGAACTTTTTGAATGTTGCCTCATCAGTAAAATTGTTTAAGAAAAGAAAACAAAATAATTATCCTTTTTTATCATTTCGTCGCCAACAACACTGTTACAATTGACATTTAAAAATTAAAAAACCAGTAAAAAGAAAAGAAGAAATGAAGAAACAAAACTAATATAAAGAAGCATAAACTAATTGGCGGAACGGATTTATTAGATAAGGTGAAAAAAATATGCCAGTGAATAAAAGAAATTTTTATTAACCATTAAACAGACAACAACGGAACAATTTCCCTCTTCTCGTTCCTCAATTTTCAATTTTTGTTTTTGTTGAATCCATAATCTTTTTGCTGCCTTATAAATTGAAAAAATAAACTTACATTTCTTATGAAAATAAGAAACAAGGAAAGGAAGAAAAAAGGAAAGAAAAAAGACGGAAGACTGTCCAGTAAAGTAAAACATCTTAATGAAACTAAAAAAAAAAAAGCAAGTAGAATAAAATAACATACCACAGAATCCCAAATGATGCATCCAAATTCAAATTCAAAATCCAGACAGTTAATGAACTTGAAGGAAATAGGAACAACGACACTTCCAGTTAGTCAACGTCAACCAACCACTGAAGCGCCTCACTGGAAAGCATATATGACGACAGATGACGTTGTTGAAATCATCTGAAAAATTGTTAGACGTTATGAAATTCTGAACTTTTACTAGCCGTCAAAAACGACAACAACACGAAATTTTCAGATGCACTTTTGCCACCTTGATGCTATCGTTAAGAAAACAGCAAGAGATGTTTTTTTTTTTTCTTTTTGTTCTCTTCCCGTCCGCTGTTATATATATGGTTAAAGAAATCTTTAGTTCTCGGGAAAAAAGAAAACTAACTGAAAATAGCATCATTTCAATTGATTATTGCTTAAGCAGGTATTTTTGGTATACTTATGCGTAATATTCACACACCACATCTGGTTTGGTTAGTCGTTCAAATTGTTATTGCCTTTGTTGTCATTGCTGCTGCTGTTACCACTGTGACGTATTATTATCATCACTGACTCTCAGTATTATTATTTTTCTTATTGTTTTCATTGCTGCCTTATTTCATTAATGACAATCGGGCAAAAAAAAAAAGGAAGAAATCTGATGACGAAAGCTTTATTTTGTATATGTACTGAAATGCTAACGAAACCAAAAATTTTATGCGGTTTCTGTACACTAAACTCAATAATCTATAAGGGCACTTATCTCGTGTGTACAGCTTATCGTCTGATAAAATTATGCTGGGCTTGCAGTATAAACTGCGGGGAGGAGGGGGGTGGCATACAACAAAAATGACTATAACAATAATCCGTCAATTTACAAAAAGAAATTTTTTTGAATAACTCTTCAAGACAAACTAAAAAAGAAAAAAAAAAAAA